GGCGCGAGGTGGGGTGGTAAAACTGCCAACCAGGCGCGTCAGGGGGGAAGCCAAGAAAGACGCAGGGAACAGCACGAGAGGACAGCTTGTCCGCAGACAAGTCTCGGACGAAGGCCCGAGATCCCAAGACGCGGAACGCAGACGCATCGCCAACCTTCCCCGTCCACCGCAGGGTGGGGGAGGTCTCCGGCAAGGAGACACGGGGCTGAAGGTTGATCTGCTGTGCCGCGTACTGAACCGCGAACGACCACAGAAAATGGGGAGCAGCCGCATGGATCATGGACGTACGAGCGACGTCCATGACCATGCCAATGCAGCGCTCGGCAATCCCATTTTGCTGCGGAGAGTCCGGAAGCGTGAAGGTCTGGCGGATGCCTCGTGCACGACAGAAGGCTCGCAGAAGGCCAGAGGAGAACTCTCCGCCTCTGTCAGAGTGCAGACGCAGAACAGGAAAGTCCGAGCCGAAACTCTCTCTGAGCTGGAGACGAGCAGCGCGGATCCAGGCGATCAACACCCCAGTGACTTCACCCTTGGTGCGCAAGGGGAAGACTGCGGTGTAACGCGAGTAGTCGTCAACCACCAAGAGGAAGTAACGCTCGTGACCCTGTCCACGGACGCGGGCTGGGCCCCACACGTCCATGTGAAGAGTCTGCAGCGGAGCCTCTGTCGGCGAAAACTCGGAGGAGTGAGGAGCGGCGCGCTGTCGCCCCTCGACGCAGGGAACGCAGGTAGGGGCAGGCCCCATAGGAAGGGGAGGGAGGGACTGGGGAAGACCAGAGACAAGGTAACGGGAGGCCATGCCTCGGAGATGAGGAAGGGAGGGGTGACCAAGGCGGTGGTGCCAGAGGAGGGTCTGGTGGGACAGGAGGCGACACGAGCAGGGGGCAGACTCAGGACCAGACCTGGACGCTGCAGCAAACTGCTGACCCGACGCAGCTACCTGACCAGACGCAGTAACCGGAGGAGACTCGGTAGTCAGTATGTACAGGCTCGACCCCGGCTGACGGGTGAACGTGGCCAAGTGTCGGCCCGTCCGAGCACACGTGCAGTGGGTCACCCGCTGACTCGCAGGAGTGAACTGGTCAACTCCCCCATCCTGCAGGTCAGCACCACTCACCAAGTTCGTAGAGAACGAGGGGAGGTAAAGACCTGACAGGGAGCCAGACGGGGCCGTTGGACACGGTAGTACAGTGGAGAAGTGGGCAAGGACAGGACCCCCAGAGGGGTCTGCCAGGGAGACCGCAACCGGCCGACTGAGCGGCGTGAGGGTGGTGCGGTCTCGAAAGAAGGAGCGAGAAGCACCCGAGTCAAGGGTGAAGGTGTGCAAAGCCTGACCAGACGTGGTACCTGAGAGAGCAGACTCACCAGTACCTGGAGCAACAGACTCACTAGTACCTGGAGCAACAGACTCGCGAGCACCTAGAGCAGCAGCTGCAATGCCCGGGTCAGGCGGAACACATAGGTAACAGTCACCCTCCTCACTAGTAGACACAACATACATCGCAGCAAGAATAGCATCATAGTCAAGATCAAAGATAGCTACACCCGACTTGAGCAAATCACCCCAGCGAGGGATCTCAGAGGCGTCAGGGAACTGGAGACGCCAGGCGTCAGTCAGGCGGCCAAAGCAGCGCTGGGTGGTGTGCGGCCCGCCGCACGGCTCCCCAGTGTGGTCACCAGTACGCAGGACGTAGGCACAGGGACCAGCACCCCCAGACCGCTGACGCGCAGCGTACCACTCACGAAGCTGCTGGGGCGGCGGGGTCTCACGAGAGCGCTGCTGCTGCGAACGCTGGCCACCACCGAAGCCTCCCCTCTGCACAGAGCCACCCCGACCAGCGCCACCGCCACCGCCGCCACCGCCGCCACCTCCACTCCCACCGCCACCGCCGCCGCCGCCTCCGCCGCCGCCACCAGAGCCCCCACCCCCACCACCACTCCCACCGCCACCCCCACCCCCCCCGCCGCCCCCACCGCCACCACCACCGCCCGCGCCCACTCCCCCAGCACCCTTGCCCCCTTTGCCCTTGCCGTTGCAGCGCCTCCCGCTAGGGGCAGACGCCGCGCCGACCGACTCGGTGCCAACGAGGTCGACAGCAGCAGCAGAGGCAACAGAGGGCAAGAGGGGGACGGGGGAACACCCCTTAAAGAAAGGGGCACGAGGGTCACCACGAGAGGCTCCTATAGCGACTATACTCTTCTCAGCTGCAAGGAGGCGCTCCTCGAGGAGGTCAACGGTTGGTGTGGTGGGGCAAACAGAGAGGAAGTGGTCCCTGACCGAGCGAAGGGAGTCAGGGAGTCGGGTGACTAGGTAGTAGAGGGTGATGTACATAGGGGGGGGGTTCTTGGCGCAGAACTCAGCAGGACTGTGGCGAGGACCAAGTGAAGCCGAAGCGCTGAAGGACCTGCTGCACCATGTGTGACTAAGTCAGGGTGATGGTGCGGCATGCTCTGTCCCAGGTGATCTGCAAGCCAAGACAGATGCGCAGCTCACCCAAGTCAGTGCAGGTGTGTCTCTTCTGCAGCTCCGACTTCACTAGAGTGTCAGCAGTAGCAAAAATCAAGTCGTCGACGTACACGAGGATGTAGAACGGCGGCAGCGAAGTGTCGGTGCGCAGGAACAGCGACGGGTCAGCAGTCGAAGGAGAAAACACAAGAGCCGCAAGTGTCGTCCTCAGTGTGTCGTGCCACTCACGAGGCGCCTGGCGGAGACTGTAGACTGGCCGCCGGAGGCTCCACTGGGTACCTGCAGGAAACGACCCAGTGAAGCCAGGTGGACAGCGCAACCAGATCTCCTCGTGCAGAGTGCCCTTTAAGAAAGCTGTGCTGAAGTCAAGAGAGTGAAGCTCGTCGTCACTCTGAGCAGCGACGTGCAGTAGCACCTGAAGAGTGGTCATCTTCGGGGTAGGGGAGAAGGTCTGAAAGATGTCAACTCCCTGTCGCTGACTGAAGCCTCGAGCAACGTTACAAGCCTTGAAGACAGGCGGAGAACCCGGCGGCCTCTTCACCCTAAAAATCCACATGCCATCGACTATGTTCGCCCCAGGAGGGGGAACTGCGTCGACCTAGGTGCCTGTGGACTTCTATGATGCCATCTCTGCGTCCATGGCTGTCTGCCACTGAGAGGAGTAGGGACCCGTAATCGCCTCTGCGTAAGTGCGCGGAGTCGGGATGTCCGGAGCATCCGGGTCTCCCTCAGGTGCAAGCAGCATGGACACGAGATGAGGTACAGCAGCCAAAGAATCCCACATAGTCTGGCCGGCCTTCGTACAGGCGGTGTTTCTTCTCTGAAGCTTCCCTGGCCGCCCACCCAGGCGGCTTCCGTACTTGTGGGTCCCGCTTTTGCAGCACCGGGTCTGTCACTGTTACGTTGGTGACCCAAGTCTCCGCAGACTCCCTGTCCTGGAACGCTAGATCCGCCCGCTTGCGAAGGACGGGGGGAGAGAAAACGGCCGTCTCATGGAAGGTGTTAAAGCCTGCCTCTCTCGCCAACCTCAGAGCCGTATAGACCAGCACATTGTGCGTCCTCACCACATCCCCCCCCTCACCACAACGGAGCAGGTGATTGGCTAAACTGCTGTCCGCGATATCAGAGTTGTCACGCTTACAGGGGCACTTGACTGTGACTGGTAGGGCCATCCCGAGGCGGAAACCGAGTGCTAATGAGAACTGACCAGGGGCAAATGTAAGGTCAGATCTCATCGGCACCGCGTGAAGCCAATCCCCGGCCCCCACACCCTTCAGGCCCATGCCCCTGGTCTTCCCCGGTTTGTCAACCAACGTGTTGGCTAGCAGCTCCCTTGCCCGTGTGACGTTGATGTGTTTTGACAGAATCAGCTGCAGGTTACCCTGACCTGCCGGGCCCGCTCTGTAGGCCTGGAGTGCCGTCTGTGCATCCGCCGGCAATCCCTCCTCTAGTGTCACCAGCACGTTCGTATCTGGGGGCGGGGGAACCCACTCCCTGGACAGGAGGGTTACTGCCTGCGACAGTAACTCCGACTCCCGCAAATTCATCTGCTGCAACAGGTGGTGCGCCGCTGTGAGGGAGGCGATATACGCCGCCGGTGCCTCAGAGATAGGATCGATGATGCTCAGTCCTCCCAGGCGGTCGGGCAGCGCCGCTTGTCGCCAGAGGAGGCTCTGCTCCAATTCAGTTGAGGGGATCCTGCCAGGTGGTTTGGCTCGCTCGACAAACCTCAAGAAACTTTCTCTCTCCTTCCTGCCGCACCTGACCGCCCTGCCCGCCTCCCTCCCTTCCACCGCCTGCACTCTCACCAGCCCCGTGCTGCTCAGCTTCGAGCAAATCACAGCAGTTCCAGAGGAAATCGGATGGCTGGGAGTGCTCGAGAAGCTGAGGCTCGTACAACTACCCGATTTGAAGTCGTTCCCTCGCTCGCTGTGTCAGCTGCAGCGGCTGAAATCTCTGGAAGTGAGTTTCTGCAGCGCGCTACAGTCGCTGTTTGGGGATGAACACTTGGGAGCAGCCGGGCATGACCTTGGGGAGAGCAGCACCCTCCTCAGCGTCGGAGGAAAAGCACAGAGTAGTGTCAGCTGTGCGGGATTCAAGGAGAGTGGCGAGTCTGTGTTCTTTCCATCCCTTGAGGTCCTTAAGCTTGCGGCCCTTCGATTCCTGCAGCTCAGCCCATCGCTGGGCTCTTTCCCATCGCTAACCAGGCTGGAAATTTTGGAAATGCGTCGCCTCGTCTCGCTACCAGATTCCATCTCTCGCCTCTCTTGCTTGCAGTCTCTCACGGTCAGCCATGCCAAAATCTTGCTAGCTCTGCCGGAAACAGTAGGGAGGTTGTCAGCACTCACAACCCTCCGACTCGACAGTCTCCCGAGCTTGACTGAGCTGCCCGAGTCATTCGGGCAGCTGAAGATGCTTCAGTATCTGGAAATATATCGCAGCCCAGGCCTTACCAAGCTTCCCGATTCCCTCCCCTGTCTGTGCCAGCTGGAGCTGTGCTATATCTCCAGAATCGGAATCTCGTGCCTTCCAGATGACTTATGTAAGCTCTCCTCTTTGGAGGACTTGCATCTGCACTTGTGCGAGCAACTTGCTCAGTTACCCACGGGTCTGCGGCAGATGGAGAAGCTGCAGGCATGCACTGTCACTGAGTGCTCGCTGCTGTCAGCAGGACAGAGAGTGGTGATCTGTGGTACAGCGAACCTGGACGAGGGGGAGCATGTGGTGGGTGGTGCAGGGCAAGAGGATGGGGGGATAGAGGAGACAGGGGTGGAAGAAGGGGGGAGTGAAGAGGAGGAGGGAGAAGGAAGCGAAGCGGAGGAGAGTGAAGGGCAGGGGAGTGGGGAAGACGGGGAGGACGTTGAGTGAATGGAGATGAAGAGAAGGAGGAAGGCATGGATATGAAGGTGAAACGGGGATGGCAAGGAGATGCAAGAAGAATTATGAAATAGGTGAGCTGGTTCGGGGATGGGGGAGTTGGTTAGAGGGGGAAGAGTCTGATTGTATGAAGTCCTTGATATCATGGTGGTTCATATGTCAACTAAAGTTGTACTTGCAATATTGTTGGTAGAATGGCATTTCATCCGTGTAACTTGAGTGGTACTCGTACATGTTGTGTGCCCGTTCCCCCTTCCCCCCAATCTGCTCATCCTCGCTGTTTTCCACTCTTCCATCTCCCGTGACGACATGTCAGCAGCCAAAATCACCGGCTTTGATGCTGAGCTGGCATCTCTCGGGCCACGCTGTGAGGCGCCCTCTGTGAGCTGCCAGCTGACCTGGACTGCAGTGCGAAACCCAGGCAGGTTTTGCAAAATTTCCGCGTTCCCGAGCAGCAGTTCAAAAGCTTCGAGCTGCTGGCCTTTGGCAAGCCAGATGTGCCTTTAAGGGGGGAAGATAGAGGGTGGTGATGTATGGTACAAAGAACCTGGACGAGGGAGAAGGTGCAGTGGGCGGATCGAAGAAAGAGGATGAATGAAAAGTGTTCATGGGAAAGGAGGATGAGTGGAACGAAAGGGGAGGAAGGAGAGGGGAGCACTCGCGAGGGTCATGGAGGGGAGGAAGGAGAGGACCTGGAGTTGGAGGATTGGGAGGATGATTAGGAAGTGGGTGAGGTGAGGTGGCTATCAGTGTCAGTTCTGTTGGGCTGAGAAAAAGCCCTTAGGATCTTTTCAAGGCTAAGACCCTAAGTAGGAATGTTGTAGTTGCGGAAGCGTTTTAATGAACTATTGAACCAAATTGCACTGGTGTGTGAGAGCAAGAGATTGATTATAGCAAAGTAATACAAAGGCTTTTATAAGATTACAAGGAATATGAAAAGGTACAACTAACTGTTTTGCTGTTGCTGTTGCGGTTCGATACAGTGACGACTCGGGCAACTGCTCAATACCGAGTCAGTTGTTTGTCCTTGCTGTCGCGCTGTTTTTCGTCAAGTCAAAGGTCGCTAACCTTTGACCTTCCCGTAACCTCCAGCTGTTACTTTCAACCTCCTTGGTTGACTCGCCGTTGCTTTGCTATGATTCGCCTCGTTTGCAGTCTATTGTTTTGACACAACAGGAGCGTTAAATTACTTGTTTCCAACACTCCCCTTGGCTTCTGGAGTGTCGCTGCTGGTGACGTGGCCTTGTCCAGTTAGCAGCATGCAGTAATCGAACTTCTGCTTTTCGGGTTTCTTGGTCAAGTAGTTGGCTGCCATCTTGGATGTGGGACAGTAGGATAGCTCGAGTCTCCCTTTCTCGATCTCGTCTTTCACGAAGAAGTACCGGAGGGCGATGTGCTTCGTTCAATTCGCGAACCCGTTTTTGTTTGCTATGCGGATTGCTGATTGGTTGTCGCAGAACATTGAGAAGCTGGGTAACTGAGCCAGCTTCTCTTCTTCCAGTAGTTCACGAAGGTACAGTCCTTGGTGGCTGAGCAGAGTGCAATATATTCTGCTTCAGCTGAGGAGAGAGCAATTAGCTCTTGCTTGCTCGACTGCCACGAGATGGGGCCGATAGGTTCGAGTCGGTAGATGTAACCGGTGCGTGATCGCCTATTGTCGGAGTCGCCGGCGTGATCAGCGTCTACGTAACCGATTAGTTTGGGTGTCGTCGTTCCGCTTTTGTGGTAGGTTAGGCTGATTGTCGGGGTGCTGACGAGATAGTGGAGAGCGCGGTTGAGCTCCGCCACATGTTCTGCTTCAGGCTTCTTGAGGTAGGTGGCGAGTTGGCTCGCTGAGTATGATAGATCCGGTCGGCAGGTAATGGCTGCGAAGAGTAGACAGCCCAGTTTTTGCTGGTAGTCGCGTATGCCGGCAGGTTTGAGTGGAGCGGAGGTTTCCTTGCGATTTCCGTCGGTGTAGCGATATGGCGTAGTGATGGTAGCTGTGGTTAATCCGAAACGCTTGGCGATGGTGTCGGCGTATTTTCAGGCGCTGAGATGGATCGCGTTCTCCCCGTCTTGTATGTTTAGTCCCATATACTGTGTTACGGTGGATGAGACGATGAGCGTGAGGTCTCGCTGCAGCTCCCCTTCGAACCAGGTTGTGATGCCGTTGGTTGAGCTGATGTAGAGTAAGTCGTCCACGTAGACGATAAGCAAGATGTAGTCGGCGCCTTTCGTGAGTCGGTACATTCCCTGGTCGTGCGGCATTTGGCGAAATCCAATGCGCATCAGTCGAGCGTGTAGGTACTGCTGCCACAATCTCGGAGCTTGCTTGATGCCGTATAGGGACTTCAGTAATTGACAGACTTGGTTGGGATCTGCGTTAGAGCCGTACGGTTGCTCCACAAAGATCGCATCATCGATGGGAGCATAGAGAAAAGCGTTGGCGACGTCGATTTGTCGGAGCTTCTTTCGCTTCGCAGATCCCAACCAAGTCTCCGAAGTCGGGACTGATGTGTCGGCTCACTGGCCCGAAGGTTTCGGTGAAGTCTCGTCCGTGCTTTTGGTCGAAGCCGCATACGACCCAGCGCGCCTTGAACTTATCGATCGTTCCGTCAGCTTTTGTCTTCACGCGGAAGACTCATTCTCCCGTAAGAATGGTTTTGTTGCGTGCCACTCCGATAGGTACGACTTTCCAGGTGTTGAGTTCTTCCAGTGCCTTTAACTCCCTGTCCATGGCTTCGCGCCATTTTTCCCTGTGCTCCCCCCCCAGAGCCTGCTGAATTGTGGCAGGCTCCTTCGGTGGCGCTGCGCCGTGGACGGCGATGACAAGTCCCAGTATCTTCAGACCACTCTGTGTGTAGCGGGGGAGATTTGCGTCCTCGGGATAAGCTGCTTCATCTCCCGCTTCTGGATCAGGTAAGAAATTAGGTCCTATGCGTTTGGAAAGGTTGGTGTTGATCGGTTGGGGTGTAACGTAACCGTTGTCGGAGAGGTCATAGTAGACTTCGGCGTTGATGCTTTCGCGAGGGTTGTCATCGTCCATGGGGATGTCCACCGAGCAGTAGGGAAAAGGTCCGGCTTCCTCCGAAGCCCCGTCCACATTCTGCTCATCCCAGCCAGCTTCATCTGCTGCCGAAGCGAAGGCTCGGTCCCCACAAAATCCGCCCGTGACATCTCGTTCTGCTTCCACGTTGTCCAGGTACGTCTGAAGGGTGAGTCGCTCGTAGAAAATGACATCACGTGCTGCTACTGTTTCCTTTGTGTGGACGTCAAAAATCTTCCATGCGTTGTAGTGCTTTTCGATGCACAGGTGTAGTCCCCACTGTGCGCGTTGGGAGAATCGGCCGGCTCGTGCAGCTGGGGGTTGGTATCGTACCATGCAGCCGAACACTCGCAACATTTTTGTGCTGCCCAATTTTCCTGTCCACAGCAGGTGCGGTGATGTGTTGTTCGGGAGCGATGATGACGAGAGCAAGTTGTGCAGCATCACGGCGTGGTCCATCGCCTCGGGCCACTGGTGGTTGGATAGCCGCATGCCACGTAGCAGCTTGCACATGGTGTTCTGGAGGGTCCTGTTCATCCTTTCTGCCACGCCTTGTTGTTGATGGGCATAGGGAAGTGAGATGAGTCGCTTGATGCCTCTCTCTGCCAGGTACTGTGTGAATTGCTGTGACTGGTATTTTCCTCCTCCGTCTGACTGGAAGCTTTTCAGCTTCACTCCTGATTCTCGTTCTGCTACTGGAAGCCAGGCGACGAAAGCTTTGAAAGCCATGTCGCGACTCGGAAGGTTGAGGTGCCAGACGTATCGGGTGGCGACGTCGATGAACGTGATGACGTAGTTGTAGGCTCCTTGTCCGCTTTCACGGTTGAATATTATGTCACTGTAAACCTTCTCCAGTGGTGCGTATGCAGGAGCGCTCGGGTTGTGGTGAGAGACGAACGGCTAATGGGGTAAGTCGGCTTCAGGGCAGGTAAAACATGTTCCGCGAACTCGTTGAAGTTCTCTGCCGTCGTGTAGGAGTAGTGAGTCCTTGTCAAGAACGCCTGCTCTTATCGTGTTGTTTAACGTTGTGTTGCTCGGGTGTCCCATTCTTGCATGCCAGATTGATTCACTGGCGCGATGTCCAGGTGATCGCCTATACAGGTCGGAGTTGGAGTAAAATCCCGCGGTGAGGTTGGCGCTTCTGTGAACTTTGTGTAAAGTGGGAGTCAACTGCTGCGCAGGAGTCAGTGGAGTATCGTCGATTGGTGTCGTAGTCGATGGTGTCTCTGCTGTTGCCAATGTTGTCTCTGCTGCTGCCGATGTAGTCTCTGCTGCTGCCGGTGGTGTCTCTGCTGCTGCCGATGTTGTCTCTACTGCTGCCGGTGTTGTTTCTGCTGTTGCCGATGTTTGCTGGATTGTCACTAACCCTCTTGTTCGTTCTGCTTCAGGTATAGTGTGTGAGTACCAGAAGCCCCCAGGACTAAAGTCGGGGTTGAGATATGGCGGATGTGTCCAAGAGGTGAAGTTGAGGATAGCGTCGCTGTCGGCGGTGCCTTGGTCTGGAACGAAGTCAAGAACGAAGACATTGTTCTTCACGATTGCTTTGCCGATGTAGAGTCCACCCTTCCCGTGGTACAGTTTGAACTCCTGGGTGGTGCTGTTTGCTTCGAGATGGATTTCTTTCGCCATTAGTTGACTGACGCTGAGTAAGTTATAGCCGAGTCCTTCTGCGATTAAAACCTTTGACATCTGCAGAATAACGTTGGTTTCTCGAGACTGAAGTTGAACTATCCCCTGTCGTCGTGTGCGCAGGTTCTGGTTGCTGGCGACAGTCATTACGACCTCGCGCAGAAGTTGGTATTCCCGTTGAACCAAGCGACCTGAGGAGCACATGTGCTGTCCGCAGCAGCTGTCCAAGAACCAGGTGCCTTTCCCGGACGGCTCGCTCTGGGCGATGGCTGCGTACGTCGGGTTGGGCTCCAGTGATTCGCGGCGGGGAGTGCTTTCATCGAGCAGCTGGTGA